AGTCTCTTGTCAACTAAATATTAGAAGAAAAAATATTTCCTTTGGGAAAAATATATTTTCACTCTATAAAAAGATTTTAACATCCAGACCTTATCTTAACCAGATGTATAACATCAAGTCTACAATCCTTTTCCATCTTTAACTATTTTAGTAACCGGTTGATCAGCTTGTCTTTGTTGTTAATTATTCTGGTTTTAGTCATGATTCAACAAAATTGATTCTTGCTATATTTTTGTAATAAATTACCATTAAAGACAAAGCTGTTCCTCATCTTTGAGTATTTTAGTCTGAGATAAGAATTAACTGTTACATCATATGACCTTACTTCAGTAAATATGAGTCTGATTAAAAAGTGAATAAATGTTGGTCAATAATTGATCTGGTGCTCCAACTTGGTAAAAGTGTAGTGTAGGACAGAAATAGTTAATCAACCTTTTTGTTTCTCTCCTAAGAACTTGCTTCACTAACAACAACAGAAGCTATCCTAATGAATACAAGATGGGTTTTAGAAGATAATCCCCTTACTCGTTAAAAGTGTCATGGAAATGCGGCTATTGTTGATTGACAGTTTCCTCCATACCTGGTGATCTGAAAGATGAAGTTGAAGAATCCCTCTCAGCTGAGTCATCCTCTCATCAGTGTCTGATCCACTGTCCACAGAGATTTTCTCTGGAATACAAAGTAAAACAGCAATTGTATGAAATTATTAGATGGCTAAGGCCACTTTAATCAAAACTAAAAAGGCCAAAGGAAGAGGAATAATGATGTAAATAGTACTGAGCAACTAATGATGAAATGTATCTGCTGCCAGCAAAAAGTTAGTGCTATTCCTTGTTTTATTACCTTTCAAGTGAACAATTTGCAATGGGAAACTAAGTGGTAAATTGCCCAAAGACACCCCCCCACCACCACACAATCACACATACACACCCCCACAAAATAAACAATTAAAAAGAATCTACAAGAATTACACTATATTACATGATAAAATGCCTACTGGGCTACTTGTTTCTACAGGTGTCAATTTCACTCAAGGGACACTCAAACATTTATAAAAAGAATTCACCAAATTCAATGAAAATTTCAAAAAATGGGAAAAAAAGAAAAAAACCTAGATAAAATGCCATGCCAGGGGTCAACTTAAATCTCCCCTATTAAATCACCAATTTACCTTGTGGATCAATGCTGATCTCATCCAGATTTTTTCCTTTGAAGGTGGAGAGCTGTCCTTTTTCTAGTGCCAGCAACACTTTACTTATTTTTGCAAGCTGAGACGTCCCTTCAGGCAATCTATAATACTGACGATGGACTCTTATGTCATGGCCTAGGAAGTCAGCCAGGTCGTCCATTTCATTGTCCTTCAGGTTAAGAACCTTCGACATGGTGGCAATGTGCTTCCTTAGTTTGGTTGAGGACATTGCTTCTGGGTGTTTTGATCCACATCTTTGAGCCATCTCACGAATAATATCAGATCCTCTGAAGTAACTGAGAGTCTGTGGTCTCCCGAACATGTATGGATTTTCATCCAACACACCACAAGTACGGCGATTTTGGACAAGCAACTCCATCGACGATACCATATCAGGAGTGAGGAGAACAGGAACCTTTCGGCCGCGTTTGCCTCTTATCTCAATTCGCTGGAAGTGCTTACACAGCTTCTTCTCAAGTTCTGACAAAGCAAGCTCGACATCTGGATGGGTGACAGAGGTGTCTCTCAAGGTAAAAGCGTTCAGAGACATTTTGGATACCTCTCCCTCTCTTCTCCGGTTGAATATTATCACCTCACAAAGTGTGATCTTGGCAAGTTCAGCCCAGTTCTTCTTTTCTGCTTGTTCCTTCAGGTTCCTCTGGCACTCCATCCTTTTTGTGTGAAGATACTGGTGCATTTTTTT